GGAAGGATGTAAGAAGTAGCGCATAACAAAGAGAATACTTTTCATGTCTTTTTTTCTTGAAGACCTAAAGTGTAATTGAATGAACACGAACAACAACGGAGTCCTAAAAATTGGAGTTGAATTCGACCCTGTTTCGTGTTGATATGTCTTTAGAAGATATTGTTAAAACTGTCCAAAATACCTAAATGATATTTTTCAGATCGAAAATATAAAAGATCCATTTTTTTTGTGATTCTGGACTTTTTTTAATTAGGCACCCATCTCTCAGTTTATAAATATTTGCATGAAACTTTTTTGAAAATCTAAAGTCGTCGCAATTTTATCAATTGACTTCTAATCAAAGTTTTGGATGAGCAAGGAATGCGTTACTTAAGATTTTCAAAAAAGTGTCATGAATAACAGTCTGTTGCTCCTATTGTTCAGAAGTATTTATGGGTGGTTAGTGGAAATTTGTGTTTTCAAAATTTAGATTTTCTCTCGGAAAAGTTTATTGTGATCTCGTTATATAAGGAATTCAATTTCAAATAAACTGATGTAATTTATTCATTGAACAGTTAGAAGTTTTACTTCAAACATTGTGAAAAATGCATTAAAAGATGCTAAATTTGATTACATATTTTAATTTTCAATAGATCTATCATTAATTAACAGTCTTTCACGGATTATAGTTGGACGGCTGAATGATTATGAATCTTCTGAATTTTTGTGCAACAAGAAGCATGAAAACGATAGTTTTGTAGAACAAAAATGATTTTCTATAATATCTGCTTAGAATGAGGACTTACTTGCTGGTAATTTATCAAAGGAAATCGATTTTACATTAAGACTAATAGATTTATTTATTGAATGATGTGATGATATTTCAATAATTTGAATAGTTTTTCGATAATCATCAATATATTCAAATTCAATCGATTCCAATGTTAATTGTTTACAAGTGATTGGTTCAGATAATGATATTTCATTTTTATCAACAATTATTAATTCATGTTTATCATTTGATATATGAAAATGATCTGATTCAAATGGTAATCTAATAGGATTAAGTTCATCTGAAATAGGCATATTATGTTCATCAACAAGACATAAAGGTTGTTCTATTAAATTTCCTGAATTATCAACTGGAAGATATTTTAATTTAGCATTTAATAAAAAATTTGGATGATTAGAATGATAACGAGCAGTTGTAATATTTAATAAATTCTTCTGAATTTTATTTGACTCTTTATTTAACATATTATAAATATCTTCTAATTTATTAATAAATTCTATTTGTTGTTGATCAAATGCAACAAATTTGTTCAAAGTCATTTTTATCGATTGTAGATTTTTTTCGTTTATTTTCTGTTCTAAATATTCATTTTTAATAATTTGAAGACGATCATTCTATAAGTATTCGATTAGGTAATAAACAATCTTATATTAATAACTTACAATATCTATTCTTAGTAAATCTTGAGATATTTTCTTTTCATGAATTATTGTTTGACAATTTTTCATATTCATAGCTATTATTGATAAATTGTCACGAATCAATGTTATATCTTTACTAATTTGTAATTCAATTGGTGTCATAGATTGCAAAGATGTTATTATTATAATAGATGATTTATTAGGAATAATATCTCTTAATGTTCTACCATTAAAAATTTGCCCTATTAGTTGTAAATCTATATCAAGTGTTCGAATAGCTAATTCAAGATGTGTTTGAAATATCGCTTGGATTTCAAAATAATCATGTTTTTGAATTTGATTAAAATCATTTTTGTATTTATGGAATTGACTATTTAAATTATAAAATATTTCTTGTTTTTCGGAATCTATATTTATTTCATTAGTTATTTGTTTATGTGCAGATTTAATTAGTTCTTGATGATGTTTTTGATCGTTTAAAACATTTTCTATTTGATTAATTTGTTGTTGAAAAAGATTTTGTAAGTTTGAAATATTTAAATGAGTAAGAAATGAAAATTTTTTCTGAAACAAGGGTCTGTTTTTGAAGGAAACAAAATTAATTTACTAAGTTGAAGATTTCTTTTTAATGAAATTTGCTCGATGTCTGTCATTTGTTGAAATCTTTTTTAAAAATAACAAAAAAGTGATTTTTTGTTTTGTTGAAGAAGAATTTGCGATTCAATAAGAAGCGCATAAAGATCTTCAATAATATTTGGCAGTACAGGTGAAATTGATTTTCGCTGTAAACTTTCATTTGTGAGTAGAAAAGATTTGGTTGACTTTTCTAAAGTAAGTTAATATTTAAATTTTATGATGTATGAAGTTCAGGTTCGGCTAATTGTTTAACACCTTTTTTATTGATGATATCATCTTGAATTGTAGATGATTCTAAAAAGTGATTTAAAAGTTTTGATTGCTTTCACTAAATTGATGCTATCCATGGCAAGGTTATATGTAGTTGATTGATTGAAATATATCATTATATAGAGAAAGATTCGAGATATCATCTAAAGAAAAAAGATACTTTGAAATGCAGAAATGTAACTTGCAACGGGTTTTTACAGAGAATATCTTCTTAGTTCAATGATATTCATCAAATTCAAAGGGGGTGGATATAATTTTATAAAACTATTCATATTGCTGAGGTTTTTCACATTGAGAGTCTTATTTTATGAAATTTACTATTAAAAATGTGTCCTCTAATATACCAGCAGTTCAGCCATGCAGAATCTATCTGTCTGCGCGAACGGCCGTTGGGGAAATTTTTTCATTTTACCGGCAGATTGTGCATACCTACTGAGACAAGCTTTCCTTGGTTCTAGTCCATGGTCCACCAACAAAAAGTCGTGACTATTTAAATGAAGTTCTTATTCAGAGCAAAGCGTGTCCGAAAAAGTTCAAAACAAAGAGTTTTGACTTGAAGTTTGTCTTGAGACACGTTTCATAGTCATAAGGTAATCTTGAAAGTTTCAACCGGAATGAACATGACTTTCTCGAGATATTCAATATCCAAAAACAAAGAAAACAGAAGTTTACAATATGAGGACAAAGTAATCGAGTTTACTTGGAAATAGAATATCTTGAAGAAGACATGATCGTTTTCGTTGAAAGTTTCAGAACTGTCCAATGACTATGAAAAGTGCCTATATGAAACATTTTAGATTAAAACTTCATTGAAAGATTTTTCTCGAAAAATATAGAACGAAAATATTTGCTTCAAATTAGTAAAATGATCATAACATTGTATTACATTTATACATTTTGAAGTATTCTATTTTTAGATGATAGTTTTAATCTTCCTCTACAAAATTACATATTTTGATAAATTAATTATGTATAGGTTTGTCATAGATATCATCAATTTACTGATACGATCTCAAACTGTTGAATCACCTATGATTCTTATTTGAACTTTTTTCAATGTTTGAGATAATGTTCTAATTTGTAATAAACGTTTTTCACAAGATGATTGTTCAATTATTTGTTGTATTTCTTCCGAAGTTTTCATTGATTGATCATCAATATAAAGTTTGTCTATTTCACTAGATTCATATCCGATTTACTAAATTCTTTTTGTATTATATCAGAATATTTATTTATTGTGTACTCAAAAAGTGAGTACACTCTAGAATCGGTCAGTATGTCCGGCCGTCCGGCCGTCCGGCCGTCCGTCCGTCCGTCCGGCCGTTAACACGATAACTTTTGAAAAGAGAGTCTGATCGCGATGAAATTTTCTACACAGTTTAGTCTTAACAATATCTCGGTCGAGTTCGAAGATGAGAATGATTGGCCGAACCATTGCTGAGTTATTGCAAAAATAGTCATTTTTCCCTATGAGAAGATAGACCCTTCTCTGCTGTCATAAAAAACTTTTCCTATCATAGTCATATAAAACCCCAACTATTATATACCATTCGATAGAGAATTTCACGAGCTACAAAATGGTATATAAAACATAAAGAAACAAGAAAGCTAACTCGCCTATTGCAAAGATAATTAATCGGAATTCGGTTCTGTTTTTGTCCACGCTCTATGTGATCCACAAATCGAGCTCTATCTTCCCATCACAGAGATGATAGTTCGAGGTTTTCTGGGGTGGAGAACTCGAATCTGTGCTCCATTCGCCTCGAAATCCTATTGGTTGAGCAGTGACCAATGGAAATGAAGTTATCGAAAAAACGACTTTACTAGGGTAAATCAAGGCGAAGAGTTCAAATCTGAGCTCTATTCATCTGTAAATCCTAGTGGTTGAGCAGTAGCCAATAGAAATCAACTGTTTATAGAAAAGGTTTGCCAGGATAATTTTTATGCCCACACATTCTAGGATGACTAATCAGTCTCATTCACTTTTTTGTGTACTCAAAAAGTTAGTACACTCTAAAATCGGTCAGTGTGTCCGGCCGACCGTTTACACGATAATCCTTGAAAAATATCATCCGATTGTGATGAAATTCGCACATAGAATTGTCTCATCAATATCTCGGTCGAGTTCGAAGATGAGAATGATTGGTCAAGAAATGGCTGAGTTATAGCAAAAAAGTCATTATTTCCTACGTTTTTTCCTATACCAATATTGACCTATTCCGAGGGGGGGGGGGCGTGTTTAAGTACCTTTACGTCTTTAAGTCCTATATTAGGGAGGTATCGTTATGTCCTCAAGTCCTGTATTATAGGGGTGCCTTTAGATTCTCAAGTCCTATACTCTAAGGGTACCCTTAGGTCCTCAAGTCCTATATTAAGGGCGTATCGTTACGTCCTCAAGTCCTATATTATCAGGGTACCCTTAGGTTCTGAAGTCCTATATTATGAGGACTCAATTATCTTCACTTTTTAGTGTACTCAAAAAGTGAGTACACTACTAGAATCGGTCAGTATGTCCGGCCGTCCGGCCGTTAACACGATAACTTTCGAAAGGAGAGTCAGATCACGATGAAATTTTCTATACAGTTCAGTCTTTACAATATCTCGGTCAAGTTCGAAGATGAGAAGGATCCGTCAAGAAATGGCTGAGTTATCGAAAAAATTGTGATTTTTGACCAGACCATCCCTGAGGGGGGGGGGGTACGGGGATTTTTCGAAAAAACATTTTTTGCTCATAATTATTCACAAAATACATAAATCGATTCAGTTTTTAATGCTGATTCTGAATCTGATATTAGTTTTGAACCGAATCATAGTTTTGTGTACCCAAAAAGTGAGTACACTATATAGAATAGTCAGTGTGTTCGTCCGTCCGGTTGGCTGTTTACATGATAACTTTTGACAGCAGAGTCAGATTACGATGAAACTTTCTACACAGCTTAGTCTTGACAATATCTCGGTCGAGTTCGTAGATGAGAAGAACCGGCCGAGCCATTCCTGAGTTATTGCAAAAATACCTATTTTTCCCTATAGCCTTCTGTGGAAAAATGGACCCATCGTGACTTTCGTAAAAGACTTTTCCTATCATAGTCAATTAAAACCCCAACTATTATATACCATTCGATAGAGAATTTCAAGAGCTACAAAATGATATATAAAACAGAAAGAAGCAAGAAGATTGACTCATCTATCACAAGGATAATTAAAGAAAACTAAGTTATATTTTGGTCCACGATCTAATTGATCCATAAACAGAGCTCTATCTTCCGATCACATTGATGATACTTCGAGGTTTTCAGAGATGGAGAACTCTAATGTGTACTGTACTTCGATCGAAATACTATTGGTTGTGCAGTGACCAATGGAAATCAAGTTATAGGAAAAACGTCTTTGTTAGGGTAAATCAAGGAAAAGAGTTCAAACTTGAGCTGTATTCGGTCCCATGTCCTATTGGTTTGGCAACGCGCAACAGAAATCAACATTTTAAATGGTAGGTTCCCCAGTATAATTTTGATGTTGAGATATTCTAGGATGACTGATTCGTATGGTTCACTTTTTGAAGTACACATAACTCTCGGATTTAAATCCGAAGTTTCCGCATTTATTTGTTGTGTAACATTTTCTCGTTGATCTTGTTGGTTATAATCTTTAATATTTTGTTCTTCAGCAAAATCTAATTCCATAAATAATCATTTTTGATTATCAGACAAATAAGGTAGATGAAGTTGAGGTCCAAGTATTGAAGTATATGGATAGAATTGTTCAATAACATGTGTTTGATCTTTTTTTATTTCTTGTTGTTTATAAAAATCATCTAGATTAATTGATAATTGAAAAGAATCTTCATCAGTAGATGTTTTCAATTTTGAAGAATCAATTTGAGTTTTTCACTAAAATATTTATATAAAAAATAATTCTAAAAAGAAATAAGAGAAAATGATTCATTTTTATTTTACAGATAATCTTGTTTATGTTGTTCACTGATGTTTGATTGTAATTCTTTAGTTTTGAATAATTCATTATATGCATCTAAATCAAGATCTTCATCTATTGCCAAATGAAATTTATGTTGATTTGGATCTTCTTGTTCTTGTTCTTCATCAATTATTTCTGAAACTCTTCAATCTGTTTCATTTGTTTGTGAGAATAAATATCTTTTATACCATATATCACTTAAAAGTTTTAAATCGCGTAAAAATTTCATATCATAATTATTAAAATCGACTAGAAATAGAAGTTTTTTTTTTATTAAATACATTAATCCTATTTATTATATTTACATTCTAATTTTAATGGTTTGAGTGCATTGAATGTATTTATTGGATGTAAATGTATATAGTTTTTCATTATTGTCATCATATCAATGATACGTTTGAGACGATCAAGTTTATGAACATGATTAAGTAATTGAGAAAGATCAGTTGCTGTTATACATAATTTTTTTTCTAAATTATTTTGTACATGATGTTTTTTTACGCAGGCATTTTCTTGTGGTTTAGAAATTTCCATAAATTTATTTACCTAAATAAGACATGATTATAAGACTTCATTGAATTATTTCTTGGTTTATGAATTCCAATCATAAACACTAGACAATTTACAGAGACTGGATGCATATACTTTGTTCTAATAAGCCTGATACTTTTTCATTATTCTGTAAACCCACGGAAAAATATTTTTCGAAAAACCGCTCAAAACCGCGATTTTTTTCATTCGACCGCGGTTTTACTAGAGGAAACCACGGTTTGGATTGGAAAACCGCGGTTAGTAGCGGTTTTTTTGAACCGCGGTTTTCTGAAACCGCGTTGCTCGTATTCATGATCGCGGTTCTAAATACCGCGGTATTCAACGGTCTAAAAAGTCGTGGTATGGTAATTGGAAACCGCGGTATTTCATAGCACGGTATTCAACGGTTTTCAAAACCGCGGTATAGTCATCAGTAATCGAAATGATAAATACCGCAGTATTGAGTGGTTTTTTAAACTGCGGTATATTCATCGGTAACCGTGGTGGTAAGTAGGGCGGTACTGAGCGGTTTCAAAAATTGCAATATAGTCATCAGTTATTGCGGTAATAAATACCGCAGTATTCAGTGGTTTCAGAAACCGCGGTATAGTCATCAATACTCGCGGTCGTAAACATCGCGGTATTGAGTGGTTTTCAAAAACGCGGTATAGTCACCAATAGCCGAGGTGGTAAATACCGCGGCATTGAACGGTTTCTAAAACCGCGGTACAGTCATCAGTAATTGCGGTGATAAACACCGCGGTATCTAGCGGTTTCTAAAACCGCTGTATAGTCATCAGTAGTCGCGGTGGTTAATAAGGGCGGTATTGAGCGATTTCAAAAACTGCGGTATAGTCATTATTTATTGCGGTAATAAATACCGCGATATTCAGCGGTTTCTAAAACCGCGGTGTAGCCATCAGTAACCGCGGTGATAAATAATACGGTATTCAATGGTTTATAAAACCGCGGTATAGTGATTAGTAACTGCGGTGGCAAATACCACAGCATTCAGCGGTTTCAGAAACCGCGGTATGCCATCGAATAATCGCGTTATTTATTACCGCGTTTTTCAGCAGAGAAACCGCGGTATTTTTGATGCTTAAACCATCGCGATGGAATGTGTAAGGACGAAGAGGATGTCGTGCCCCGCTATTTTCATGGAAATTTTGCAGAAGTTTTCTTATTCTATCTCTCACTACAAAGTAACTTTGTGGTAATGGAACTTCTAAAGTTCACTACAGACCCCTTGAAGGGTCGCTTACCTGAACTTTATCATAAGTTCAGGTGAGTCTGATCATACCTGAATCAGGTATGGTCATGGAAACCGCGTTTTCCAGCGGTTCCATGAAACCGCGTTTTCCAGTGGTTCCATGAAACCGCGAAAGTCAGACCTTTTATTCGGTTTTTTAAAACCACCAAAAACTCCGGTATTGGTACACTGCGGTCGTCACCGCTTGAATAAACCGCGAAAGTCAGACCTTTTATGCGGTTTTTCGAGGCCGCAGTAATCAATGGTTTTTCGAAACCGCGAAAGTCAGACCTTTTATGCGGCTTTAGATACCGGTGAAAACCGCGGTGTGAAATTACCGCGGTTCTTGGCGGTTTTCAAAAACCGCATAAAAGGTCTGACTTTCGCGGTTTCGGAAAACCGTTGATTACCGTAGTTTGTGAAACCGCGGTTTCTCGCGATTTTTGTTCAAAAATTTTTCCGTGGGAATATGCAACCATAGAGCTCATTCGACAGTCTCACCAGCACTTACAAAACGAAACAAGGGTTTTTATAATATAGCCTTCTTTTCAAACTCTTCAGTAGCACTAAATCAAAAACCTGATTGTACAAGTTTGTAGATATTGATGTGATGCATCTAATGATAAGCTTTATTGTCAATAGAAATTTCTCAAAGTTTGAACCAGAACAAACCTACCTTGATTGAGATATGAACTGTAGCATGATAATGTCATATTTCTGAAATACAGTCCAAAATAGTTGTTTCTTTAAAATGTGAATAACTGAACTAGGAAGCGTTCACTCTGGCTCAAATATTAAAGAATTTCTAGTAATTATATGGTCTGTCTATGAAGAAAACATTAGCTTGAAATTTCACTTATTCAGGTTCTTAGTGATCCTTTACTCGTAGATCAACCACTATCCAATGGCGATAGTCTCAAACAATAGAAGCAGTTTGATAGTTGGATATGTACTGGCGTGATATTTACTTGAGTTATACCATATTATCTTTTGGCAATTACAAGATAAATGATATCTGACTAATATGACACACTCATAATTAATAACTAGTAGAGTAAAATGATTCAATATTTAACTGAAAAATAAATATAGCAAATGAGCATATTTATATTTACATTAAGACAGAATATTGTTTTGGCATAAGATTTAATTTCATTAGGTTTAGCTAATTTACTAACAATTAATAAAACCATAAGATCTTCTAATGCTATCATACCATAACGAATAAGTAATAATTGAAAATCTGTATGAAATAAAATTTGATGTTGCTGAAAATGTTTCATTAATGATTTTTCAGCAATTGAACCATTTTCTTTAATTAATAATGATATATTATATGTCGTATAAGATCTAATGAACACCCACATCCACACCCTTGTTCAACTAATAAATGTAATTGATTTCGTGGTATTTTAGTTTGTATATAATTATGGCGTAATGAACGTAAATTTGGTAATAATTCATTGTTTATATTTTTATCGATGATTAATAATTCTTGATTATTTTCAATTAGAGATTTATGTTGTTTAACAAGACTATTATATGTTAAACGAGATGATATTTGTATTGGTTTAGAAAATGATTGTATATTTTCATCCATTTTTAAAAGAGCATGATCAACTGTTCGTTGAGCTTTTTCTTTTACTATTTTAACAGTTTTTATTTGATCACTTAATATATTGGTTTGAATAACTTGACGTCGACGCATATTTTGATTAAGTGCTAATTCAAATTGTATATTAGTTAATTGTTTACGATCAAGTATATTAATTAAAAATTGTTCTTGAATGACAGTTTTATATTCACTTGATTGATTTTTAAGTATAGCTTCATTAAGATACTAAATTAAAATCAACGATATACATGTTTTTTTTTCAATTTATTTAATAGAAAATTATTTACATCTTGTAGAAAAAAAATCTTTCGTTGATTGAATTATTTGTTCAATAGTAAGAAATCCATGACGTAGAATATGTTAATAAATAATATTAAATTTTTCATTTTCAGTATTTGTTTGATATTAATTAAGAATTTCTCTTGTATGAATTTCATCAATATAACCTTCTTTTTGAATTAATGTAATCATCATATAAATAAGAAATATAGCTTGGGCTTCGGGTGCAGTTATATTAGCAAGAGATTGTGAAATGATTTTTGAACCACGTAATTCATTGACTATATCTCTGAATAGAATAATTTCTTCATTGTAATATTAATTGAAAAAGTTGTTAGGGCAATCCTTTAGAGATTAAATCGAGAAACATGATGTAGTTTTCTTTTGTTAATCAAAACAAGTTCATATATTATAATGAGACATTTGAAGTCCTTTTCTCGATGGTAGTAACTAGCAAGACTCTAAAAACACATTTGTATAACTAAAAGGATTCTCTATCAAAACTATGAAATACAACGAGTTCAGCAAAAATATTTGGATAAAGGTCTGTGGAAAATCAAGACCTATCAAAACCAACTTTCTGGTTTTCATTCAAAGTTTTTAACAAAAAATTTAATCACTATATACATCAACACCCCTTTCAGATTGTGTTTTATAAAATAAAAGAAAGCCAACTCACAATCGACATGGTATTGGATATGATTCAAGATATATATTCAGATCATCAATTGTTAATAGTGCTTGCTGTTTACGTATGTTTAATAATAATTTAATAACTATCAATTCTTTTTCAATTAATAATTGAACTTTATAAACAGCCAAAGGTTTAAATCCATTAAATAATTTTCTTAATTGTTCATTGATCATAGTTCGATGATTAAAATGAAGAATATAATCAAATATAGTTATTATGATTGTTTGTTCTATTTTATGTCGAAGAACAGAATTATGGGTATACATAGACATACTTAGAGTATAACAATCAAATATGGATTGAAGTGTAAGACTAGTTTCTCGTAAATCTAATATTGTCACTAAAACAAATAAGCAATCTCAAATTAGTGCTAATTTTCAAATCTACGTTTAAAAAATCAGAAATTGAGTATATTGAAAGTCTAGATTAGAGTTCATCAAATTGGCCTCGAAAACCGATCTGGATTCAAAAGTTTTGAAATCGACATCCTCTAAAAGGCATAAGATTGCGGACAATGAGAATTGTACGACAGGAGGAACAAAAGAAGAATCACTGTGATCGTGCTTGTACAAAGACTAGTATTGCTAAAATAACATTTTTCGTTTTCGATATTTCTCATAGATTTCTCTTTGTTAAAAGTCCACAGTTAGATGTTTACTAAAAACTAGTTATAATTTTAGGTTTACTTCTGCTAAGATTTACTCCTGCACTTTTACGATCAGCATCTTATTCATTGATATTCAAAATTAAAGATTTCTTATTAGATTCTTCTTTTATACTTCCTACACTTATATCAATTGATGATTCTTGTTGACGATGCGATTGATCATTTGTATCTAATTTTTGTTCATAAGCACAAATTTTAAGAACTTATTCTGTTGATAAATAATAATCCGTATTGGATAATAAAATTTCATTGACGTTCTCAAAACGTTCTTTATTTGAAATAATTCTTATAATAATTGTTGTTAAAAATATAGAATATTTTTCAATAATTGGATCGAGAATATGTAAATGATTAGGTGACACTAAGAAAACAAGAAAGAAATTTTTGTTTGTGTTATGTAAGAGAAGGTCTTTTCTTCTAGAACATGCTCTCAAATTTGATCAGACTGTAGAGAGTACCTCCCAGCGTCTTGACAGTTGAGTGTAGTATAGTATGAAAAATGCAGACTTCATAAAACATTAAATTATCCGCTATAACATCATTAGTTTCCAATGAAATTTTCTATGTACAAGTGCCTACTCTCCAAGTATTTAGTCTCTACGTTACAGGATAGTGGGACGTTGTATTGAAGAATTATAAAAACAAGATTAATCAGTATGTCTAAATTTTAGAATTAAAATTTGTTTTTTCTTACCTCTGTCTTCAAGAAAACGTCATTTTTTCTAAAAGAACAATATGTTACCTCATAAAGGCAACCTTAGTGAATGATTCTTTTAAGAAGAAAAAATCTATTTTTGCAAACCTTATGACTTCTATTATATGTGACTCAACTCGAAAGAGATTGTCATATTCAGACACTTGAAGGTATTCTACAAAGTGGCTAATTTCAGAAGCATATTGTAAGGAATAGAAAAACATCCTTCTCCTTAAAATACTCTGTAATATATATATCATAACTAACTGTTAGGAATAATATGAGTAAAATATTCTATACCTAAGTCTGAAATCATTTCTAGAAATTTTTCAGTTGATATGGATGAAAGAAGAAGTTTTTGTAAATTTTCAATGCGTTTAAAACGTTTCTGTCGATAATTAATACGTTGATGAAATGAATCAAGCAAAGTTTTACATTCAATTCTACAAAAAAATATTTGATTTTCTAATTAAGGGAAAAAGAACTTTTTAAATCTGTAGTGATTTACGCTTGTTGTTTTGGAAGAATAATTGTAGAAAGTTCTTCAAAATTAATTTTATTGTTCGTTAATTTTAATAAAGTTTTAAAACGTTCTTGTGAAATAATATAATGTATTGTAATTAAAGATGAAAGTTCATGTTCATATTCTGGATCAGCATAATCAACAAGAATAGAAGCTTTGTTTATAAGTTAAATAACAACCAAGTTTACAAAAATTTTCACTAATAATTTTATGAATATTATCATTATTATTTCGTTGTTTAATTGTTAAATATTCGTTTTGTTGATCAGAATTTTTTAAATTTTCCATAGATATATAATAAATACCTGATTCTATGATATAAAAAAAAATTATTTATTTATTTTCTTTTCATAGTTTTGTAAGAGACTTTTTGGAAATTGTATATTCCTACAATGTATTAGAATTAGTTCTTAATCAAGGAAAAATGCTAACAATATCAAACGAAAGCTTGTCGAAATTGAGATTTAACATTACTCAATAGTTCATAAAATAACGATGAACTACAGCATGAGTGAAAGTTCTAAAATTTTCAGGCATATAATTAATGTCTATCGATAGTCAAAGATAGAGTTCTCTTTATTGATCATTATGATAAACAAGTCTTTTTCAATTCCATAAATGGCAATGCTAAGATTTATCTAACTCATTCATGTTATTTTTTTTTTATAGCTATAGATAAAGTTTTACTATGATGTTCTGAGAATTTCTTGAGTATCGTTTTTTTTGTTTAAATATTTGTTTTCTAACCTAATGTATCAAGAAGTCTCCTTAGAAAATTATTGTAGATTCCATCAAGTGTATATTCATTAACAAAAGTTTTTATTTCACTTAATGTTTTAACTATATTTTCATTTTTATGTATTTATTATTATGAATATTTAAATAATTACCATGAATACATATAGTGATGATAATCTTTTTGTTGATTCAATAAAATTTTTTGTAATAAAATTTTGACGTTCATCATTATTTAATGGAGAATTAGTATAAATTATTTTGATTGTCATTGCATGTTTTGTTACATATTCAATTAAATCATCTTCACGCATAACTAAAGTAAATCAGCATCACGTTTATGAAAAAATGATATAGATTCAAAATGTTTTAATAAAGATGATTTTTTAATGATAATATCTAATTTAGATAAAACAAGAAGTTCAATTGTTGATATAAGACCTGATGTTATTAAATCATCAAATATATCAATAATTGATATAAAACGTGGAATTTTATTAAATTCATTAAGAAATGGTATAAGTATTGTACCATTGAAATGTTCACCAATCATTTTAAGTGCAACACGTGTTATACAACTATGTAAATTTAAATGATCTTGAATTTTTTTACAAATCTTTTTTTAAAATTTTATTTAAATAGAAATTAAAAAAGTTTAAAAGGTTTTTTAATTTACTTTATTTAATCGTTCATCAATAACTTCTTTTGCATGAAAATCAATATAGAATTGATCTAATGTTTCTGATGTAATTGTATTCTCCGAAATTAATGCATCAAAATTTTCCGGTAATAACTATATAAGTAGGGTTTTCTAAGAGCTGCCATTACTTGAGTAGTAGACACTATTTTTCAATCAATAAGGAAATAGATCATGAAACGTTATTGATATATGGTAACTTACAGGACATAATTTTTGGCGTACAAACGTGAGCATGATTTCTGGTCTTCTCTTCATCTACACTCACTCATGCCATGGAAATATTACTTTCTTCAATACGTATCTAGTTTCGATATTTTTCTCTTTTGATTTTTCTACAATCAGCTCTACTATCGATCAGAGTCTGTGGAGAGAGAGATCTAAATTTCTAACTTGTATACTTTAGCAATTCTTTTGAGATCATGTTTCAGAAAAAGGTCTTTATAATTGGTCGAACAAATCGAAGTCGTCATACTCATTCTACAATTTATTAAGATTTAAGAATATTTCGTATACGCTTCAAATATGATATTACGACATTACTTGATGTCTGATAATGAACTTTACTATTGACTCTTGATATTTATTTTTTTCTTTTATTAGATGCTACAGATAGTATTCTGTTCATTATAGATAGAATCTAAAGATCAACTAAAATTTATCATAGCTAATATGAAAATCGATTTCGAATAACATTAATAGAAATCTTTGACAAATTTCTAATACAGAAACAAAAAATTTAATCACTACTATAAGCATACTAAATTCAAATTCTTGAATTTTCATTGATTCTCTATTTAACTTACTAAAACCATTTAATTTTTTAATTGTTTGATGTAAATCATTCAATTTCATTGGAAGATTTAATTTAAATTGTCGATATTCATAATCAATATGACTATCACTATTAAATGTTCGATTAAATATTAATTTTAATAATTGTCTTATAGCATCTTCACGTACAATATATTCAATTATATCATCTATTTGTTTTGATGTTAATATTGATGAATGAATAAGATTTGTATCAAGATCAATAATATCATTTGCATCTAAATAATATTTTGGGTGTGGGTGTGGGTGTGGGTGTGGGTGTATGAAGGAAGACTAAAGCAGCATCCACACCCACACCCACACCCAAACCACACACCCACTCCCACTCCCACACACCCACGCCCACACCCACACCCACATCCACACCCACACCCCACACTCACCCCGCCCACATCCACACCCACACCTCACATCCACACCCACACCCACACCCTAATCAATCCTGAAAGTTTTCCAAAAACCTTCTAGAAACCCTCTGTAGATCCTGGAAATCTTGCCATTGGATTCAGAATGCTTTTTTATGTATACTCTGATAATTTGAGTGAATTCTGTTGAAAAATAAGAAATTAAGAAAAAAATCACTTGGCCGATTATAGGTGAAAAGCGTTCGTTTTGAAAAAAAAGAAAAGTTTCAGCAAAAAAAAAAAGAAATTCAAAAAAGTGAATTTATAACTTTGTTCTACGCTTGATGGCGGTTCTAATGGCGTAAGAATGAAGGGTCTATCTCTCGATCTGATGGCGCTGATAGGCTTGCAAGCGGAGAATACCTAATTTGAGACCTTTAAAGTATGACGAGGAGGGGGGAGCACTTTTTACATCTGCTGAACCTTCAAAGATAGTCTATGATATGCAGTTTTTCACGATGATTCCGAAGAACACATTCCAAAGGTTCCACGACGTTGTGGAGTCGAGATATCGCATGTTTTTCGGACTGTTCCGATTTTTTGGAAAAAATGGAGTCGCCTAATTTTTTTATTTTTTCTCAGTGAAAACGCACACTAAAATTTTTTTAAAGAACATATTCGTAATCAGCGCAAAATTCTGCGTCGAACGAGGTATATTTGAGCGAAAAATAAAATAGTGCTCGACGTTTGAATTTGGAGCACCTTACTCTACGAGAGATGTTTTACCTTACGTACTTCATATTCGTGTAATCAATCTAAAAAATATATGTGAGTTTCTCATTTCAGCCCGAAAGGAATTTCCCTGGCAAGTCTTTTTTCTTTGGATTTAGGTAATAAAGAAAAAAGCTAGAATTTCATCTTACCCAAGTACCTATTCTGAACTATAGCTTGCATAAAATACCTTCAGTTCAATAAAGTCTTACATATTTTCTTTTACTAAAGCATATGAATAGTAGGCGAATATATAATCATACTTGAAAAATGAAAGCCTTTCATATTTTAATTATCTAAAGTATTTGTATTTCGATCATGAAAAATGTTCGAAAACAAATTGTTGAATAAGATCTCGTAGAAATTTTATTAAGACGAACTACAAGACAAGGGTGTGCATGTGAGTGTGGGTACACAAAAGAACCACACAGTGGCACTCACATTCACACCCATATCTGACTTTAAAGATTTAGCAATGTCGATGTGATAAAAAATAGGAAATGATGTTCGAAAAATGTCTATAACCTTTTTCTTAGACGTATTCAAATAATTTATATTCATTTTGTTGAGGTCCATAAGTAATTTCAATAATTTATAATATGGATTAGAAATCTGTGTATAGTCTTCATGAAGGGAAAAAAATTGTTTTTTTGATGTCTAATGTATTCTACAGTAAAATGATGAACTATAAAAAGGTTTTAGATGCCATTTTATTCTCTAAATTTTGATTAATTGATCTGATTTTATGTAATTTAGATATATATATATTTGAAAATAAAAAAATATCTTGGCCACAATTACATAAATTATTAGCAATTAATCAAAGTTCTTGAGGAATTTACAAAGACAAAAATCAATTATTAAATTAATTTCATATTGTTTTGATTGAAGTATTTAAAAAAATTAATTTTCCCTTGTTTTATGATGATAAGATCTTGGTATTATCGTATGTATGTTTTTAATAGAAATTATTCAAAATTCTTTTCAATAGTAAAAAGCATTCAGTAAAATTGCTGCTAGTAAAGATTGTAGATAATCTCTATTGATACTAATTGATAAAAATCTATTCATAGAAATCAATTGATTTTTATTCAGACAAATAGATCTTATATTGTCATTTTTAATTCGTTGAAAATATAATGTTAATTTTCTATTCTAAGAAAGGTTTTTAAGTATTTCAAGGCAAAAAAAGCAAAATGAAAAAAACAACAAAGTTCTTCGGTTTATCATCAAAATTGATGTGTACAATTCATAATTATTTTCATATTCGAATATTTTATTTAATTTATTCTGATTTCGTCTAGATTGTTAAATGCAACTAAGATTTTCAATTCAATGATTGATCATAAGAAGAAATAGACATTGGATTAGGCTGTTACTTTCTTTTTAACGTTAATTAGCCATTAATATTTCTTTTTTTCTAAATTTTCTTGCAAGCAGTTTTTTAAACATATTTTGATTCTGTTACTATAAATTGTGTATTTATGTCAATCATGTTGACTGTTGAAAGCATTTTTGTTTACTGATCTCATGCTTGGCTGTGTTGGAAAAAAATTCTTTGATTGCATGACAAACAATAACAAAGTACATGAAGAAGAAAAAAAAATGAAAGAACGTAAAACGAAACATAAAATGTTTAAACAAACTGTTCTCGAATGAAAAAATTGCAATTTTTTTAATATAGAAAAAGGTTTTTGATAATTAGATAATGTACGCATGGGTAGCTATTCAAAAGAAACTCTATTACTTTGTTCATATCATATCCTTTCATAATTTGATAAAAGAAAAAACATTCATATTATCTCATATCACGTGTTTTAAGTCTTTTTAAAAAATGGACTTTACACTATGACGAAGATATGGAAAATGAATAAAAAATGCTTTAAAGCTATTTA